ACAGGCCCCGCCCCTCTGTGAGGAATGCTGGGAGCCCTGGGAGACGTGGTGCTCCCAGGCCCCAGCAGCAACCGCCTCACATTTTCCATCTCCTTTTCCATCTTACTGGAGCGACACACACACACCCTCCCCCACCATGACTGACAAACTGCAGAAAAATCTTACAGACCTAGGTCTCAGACCAGCTTCTTCTAGGTCACTTCTGAGCTGCCACGGGGAGGGCCGGGACTCAGGCAGGGACCAGCCAGTAGTTTTACTGACCATGATTACCACCCCTCCCCCCATCCAGTGACAGATAGACCGGAGCCCTCCCCCTACAGCTCCCAGGAGCTGAGAAGACCTTCACAACTTGCTGGCCTGGTACTCAGGAGGCACTCAGAAAACATGTGAATGAGTGAGTGAATGAATGAATGAATGAATGCCTGGAGAAGCAGATAAGGGGAAGGTGAGGACTGGAGCAGGCACTGACATTTTCTGTGCACTAGATCTACATCATCACACTGAAAAGGCTCCCCAGGACCTTGGGGCAGGCATGCTTAGGTCTACTTTACAGAGAAAGAAACAGAGTCTCAGGCTAAATATCTCACCCAGTGTCACACAGTTTGTAACTGACAAAGCCAAGCAAGAACCCGCCTCTGTGAAACTCAGGCTGCCTCCTGCCTGGGAGAGAATGGAAGCGCGATGGGGGAGGGCAACAACGCAGGGTCATCTAGCGAGGTGCCCAAGTATATCAGCTGTGCAACCTTGACCACATTACATAGCCTCTTGGTTTCCTCATTTGTCCAGTGGGTCTAGACTCTAGTATCAGAACCCTCCACACAGGATTGCTATGAGGAGCAAAGGGCTTACTTAACCCAGAGCTGGGCACATTAACGGGGATCAGTAGTTGCTAGCATTTGTGAGACAAGAGCCTAACCAGTCCTAACCTAGAACCTGGCATACAACAGGATTCTTCTCACCAACCCGTGTCCCAGACAAGACACACTGTTAGCGACCAAAAGCTCACTGTCCCAGTCATCCCGCAGAAAGATAGGATTCAGAGTTGGACAAATCAGGTTTGGAATCCTGGCTGTGTGACCTGGGGCCTCCATTTACCCAACTGTACAATGGGAACTGAGGGTGGATTAGATGGTCCCCTGGGCCCTTCTGGGTTGACACCTAGATTGGCTGCACTTCAAACATTCAAATCTCCTCCAAGAAGGTAGGGAGGCTTGGCTTCACGGAGCCCACATGTGGGGTGTGATCAGACCTTTTGTCCTCCCTGGAGCAGCTCCTATTTATTAGCATCCTACAGCTAAGGGGACCCAACCCCCAGGCTTCTCCCAGCTCCCCCAAGAATGAAAACACAGACATCCTGTCTACTCATTGGTTAACAATTTCCCAAGAGATGCAAGATTTCACTGCTTACAAAATGTTTTCGTTTTATTTTTGTCTATTCACACCTCCCTTATTCCTGACAACAATCCTATGTAGTTGCCAAGGCAAGTTCCATAACCTTAATCATATAGATGAAAATAAAAAGTAGCTCAGAGAGGCCAAGTGACTTACCCGTGGCCACACAGTAAAAGGCAGAGTTAGGTCTCAAAGCCAGGTCTTTGGGCTCCAACTCTCAGATTCGTCCACCCACACCCGTGGGTTCCTAGCATGTCCTCACTACATGGTGGGCGACAGGTGGTGGTGATGGGGACCTGGAAGTTCTCAGACCACCAGGGCTTTGAATGTCAAACATCATCAGTGTGTCTGCTCTGCAGCAAAAAGAAGCTGCACCTTAGAATCCTAGAACTTTAAAAGTTAATCCTCAGACTTCCTTGGCTGGAAGGGACCCTGAGATCAGGCAGCTCAACTGTAGCCACCACACGAATCTCCTCCTGAATCCTCAAGTAATCACAACCACCAACATTTTGTACAGTTTACAAGCTGCTTTCCACACACCCTACGTCTTCATCCGAACATGCGAGGTCACCCAGCCTCTCTGAACAACTCAAGTGGCAACAACTTTACTCCCGTCTCTGTAGCAGCTCCTTCTATCGTTTCGTTGGGAGAGAGCTGCCCATTTACGCTTGCCCCACTTGGGCCCCAGAGCAGGCCTCACGTGACAGATCTGCCATCACCCGAGAAGCCTTCCCCAGTTGACAATTCCCAGTGTCCCTCACCAGCTGGAAGATGAGCCTGCGCAGGGCCCCACCAGACTCTATGGGACTCAAGCCAGGGAGTACAGAGCCTCTAGGGGACATGCTGGGGATCTGGAGTCCTTCTCCTGGTAACCAGGTCCTGCATCTTAGAAGCAAAGTGGCCCAGAGGGGCAGGAAACATGTCAAGAGTTTTATGCAGCCTGGAGAACCAGCTCTGGGACCTGGAGCAAGTCCTTCCCCACTCTGGCCATGGTTTACCACCTATAGAATGAACAAACCAAAACCTCCTGTATTAGTTCCTACACTTATGGTCCACATCCAGTCTCTAGATCTTCACCTCGCCTCTGTGAGGTTGGCAGCTGGGTTAAACAAAGCTCTGGAGAAGTTTGGGGACCAACCCAAGTGTACACAGCGAGAATTGCACACTCTGGCCCTGCTCGCCTCTCATCCAAACTCCTTCTTCTATTCAGCCTTGAAATCAACAAGCTTTTTTCTACTTCTCCTATTCAGTTGACTTCGTTGCATCCTTCAGCCCTTAGCCTCTCTGAGCATCTCCAGCTCCACCTCCTCCATGTGCTCTTGGCACACTGTATCCTTCTCCACCCTTGTCATGATTGGCATTGTGATTTACTTATGACTATTGCTTGGTCCCCGGCTAGACCCAAAGCTCCATGAAAACAGGTTCTTCATCTTTGTCCACGGCTGCATTCCCCTGATCTGCACCAGTATCTGGTACACAGTGGGCACTAAATAAATAGTTGGTGAATGAATGCATGAGGAGCCAGGAGAAAGAGCCCAGCCTGCTTCAGATGGGGAGAAAGATCTACTCTGCCCCCACAGAATCCACAAGAGAACATAAAAGGCGTCCATGGAAATGTGTCACATACCACTTGAGACTAGCAGTGATGACAACTGCTCTCATCCGAGGCTCACTACATGCCAGATGCGCTAGTGGTGTTTGCACACATTATCTCCGTTAACCCTTATGGTTGGAAGATGTGCTATGTAAAGTGTCTTTTTACAATGAGGAAACTTGATGTCTAGAGACATTGAGTAACCTGACCAAGACCACAGAGCCAGGAAGCTACAGACCCCAAATTCAACACATAAAGCCTGAAACTCTGAATGAATGGGAGAAACTGAGGGTCAGCCCTGGCCTAGGCAATGGAAGTCCCCAGCCAGACCCTGGCCCCTATGAGACCTTGGACTCAACCCCCAGCCTTCTGAAACGATGTTTCATCATAACTATCATGGGTGGCTCAGATGGACTTCAGAGCTCTGCCAGGGATGACTTCCTGGGATGGACAGCAGGCCACGGGGGTGGGTGTGTGAGGGGACCCTGAAGCTAAGCTCTATGGGCCACCTTCTCTACCAGGGTGAACAGTGGGGGCAGGTGTGAGTTTAGAGCATCTCAGGCAGTAAGTGTAGGAAGCAGCTCAGAGCACCAAGAGGGCAGGGCCAGGCCTCCTTCTGGCTTGTCTCCTTCCTTCTACCCACTCTCCTACTTGTCCTCTCCTCACCACTAGCTTCTGAAAACTATAGGAGCTGAATGAAGCCCTGATTGTCAACACGGAATGAATGGGGCCTTTGGGAAGACTTAACCGGGGGTGGATCACCCTGATTCAGACAGGCCCTGTCCTTCTATTCTACAGGCATTTACTGAACCCATTCTGGGTAGCAGATCCTGGGGAAATGGGGAGAGGGAGACATCGTTGAGCAAGACCTCAAAAACTCTAACGAGAGAGAAATCCATCTGGCCAGAAGAAACACAATGCAAAGCTAAGTGTTGCCAGGCAGGCATAAATCAGCAGAGTGCAGTTAACTCTGTGGCTCTCGGCCAGAGGCACGCTGGGTGTCGTGCCAGGCCATCAACTGACAAGAGCAGGTAACATTTCAACCTCTTCCCAAATCGTGCCCAGCCAGTGGCAGCAGACGAGAGCCCATGAAGCTTCCAGTCTGCCCAGCCAAGGTCGACACACTCGGTCTGGGCTGTCCCCAAAGCGGCCACAGTGCCAAGCCTGGCCTGCACCCAGCAGTTGCCCAGGTCCACGGAAAGGGTGAAGGCAAAGCCCACTCTCCTGGGGAAGCTCTCAGGTCCCCACATGCCCAGAGGAAACGCCCCTTTCAGATCGGCAGCTTCCCTCTTACTGGGAACATGGGAAGGCCAAGGGCCAGGTTATGCGGGGCCAATGGAGCCCTGTGTATTCAGAGTCTGTCCCAGAGAGGGCAGGAGGCAGTATCCTGGGATCTAGAAAGCTGCCTCTGAACCGGTTCTCCCATGACATCCCCCTCCCAGGCTGTGGGACCGTTAGACAGGGCGGAAGTGGGACTCTAGCCAAAGGGATGTTCCCAGATGTCATGTTTTCAAACGGGACTCGCCCGGAAAGGCAGGCGGGGCGGGGCGGGCCTGTGCCAGGGAAAGCCCTGGGTAAAGAAAGGTGTTCCAGCCTCTGCTTGGCACGGGCTGGCCACAGGTCTCCCTGGCAGCACGCACAGCAGTGCCCGTCCCAGAAAGGAGACCCACCGAAGGCCCGGCCTCTGACCTGGGAATGGGGGCTGTGAGCAGCGGAAGCCAGAGGTCCGGCCCCTCACTGACTACCCACCCCGCCATTCCAAGTAATGCATCCAGTCCTCCTCCAAAGCAGTTTCTCACCCCCTCCCCTTCCCAAACCAGAGCCCTCTGGCAGTCTCCTCATCCAACTTCCTTCTCGGGTTCCTAAAACAAAATGGGAGGCGGTGTGAGAGTGGTCCCGGAGGGCTCAGGCCCCTTTCTCCAGCTCGTTCAGTGGGCAGCTAGTGCCTCGGCCTCCTGGGGCTGTGACACCCGGCGCCTCCCCAGGCCTCCCTCGCCCCCATCGGCGCCCTCACCTTGAGATAGTCGTTCT